TTCTACTCTGTGGCTAAGAGTTGGAATTGATTTGATGTTATTGAGTTTGGTTATATATATATTTATAATGTGTGTGTGTGTGTGTGTGTGTGTATAGAGATACTGCAAGGATATACATATTAAAATTTATATCTCCATTACTTTCAGAAATATCTTTTTTGCAAAATTAATTTGTCTAATTTTAAATAAAGAGTTCGATGTTTTGGTTTAACTAGTTAATAGCTCAATATAGTTTGAAGTGTCATTATAAAACACTCATGCCATAAATGTGATTATACCACAGTGTCTCACACCCTGCTTGGCACAGATGAGGCTTCCAAAAGATATAAACGAATGAGGATTAGGGGTGATTAAGAGAAAATTCTTAATTTTTTTTCTGCATTTCTAAATTTTCTTTAAAACATATATATTGCTTTTAAAATAAAAAAATTCACTGCTAAAAATGAACTATCTTGTTAAACTAAGATTCTATTTTGCTACTGAGCTCTTGTGAAACAAAACATCCTTCTTGAAGCTTCATAAAGAAATTTAGATTATAGATATTTGTTCAACATCTTTTTTTTCCTTCCCACATTTCAGTTCTCGAACATCTTCAAATAAAGAAGTGGTTATAAGCAGTGGTAAGACTTGTAATTTCCCTTATTTTTTCTTGGGAGTGTTGAAGGAGGGTTCTTTGTTTCTGTGATCGATTTCACTAAGCAATGACACTTGCACTGGAGTCTCTTATGTTAACGTCTTTTAAACTAGTGTACTCTAAATTACGACCCACCTCCCAAAGAGGCTGCAGCCTCTGATAGCCTAGTGGTTACGAATCGGGCTGTGAACTGCAAGGTTAGAAGTTCAAAACTACCAGCTGCTCCTGAGAAAGATGAGGTTTTCTGCTCCCATAAAGATTTACAGCCTTGGAAACCCTGTTCAGGGTTGCTATGGGTCGGAATCGACTCGACAGCACTTAACAACAACATATAGTACCCTAAGGAGCTCTGGTAATGTAATGGTTACAAATTGGACTGTGAACCTCAAGGTCAGCAGTTTGAAATTACCAACTGTTCCATGGGAGAAAGATGAGGCTTTCTGCTCCCATAAAGATTTACAGCCTCTGTACAGGGTTGCTATGAGTCGGAACCGACTCCATGGCACATAACTACTGCCACCACCATATAGTACCTTAAGGAGTCCTTGAGGTGGAGCTTTGGGTTAGATGTTGGACTGTTAACTCCAGGGTTGGAAGTTCAAACCTACAAGCAGCTCTTTGGGATAAAGATGAGACTCTGCTCCCTTAAAGATTTGCAATCTCTGAAACCCTATGTAGGGTCATGAGTTGGAAGTGACTCGGTGGCAGTGAGTTCTATGGTACCTTAAGAAACCCTGGTGTTGCAAAGCTTGGCTACTAACTGAAAGATTAACAATTCAAACCCACTCACTGGTTCATTGGGAGAAATACATAACAATCTGCTGTTGTAAAGATGATAGTCTAGAAAACCCGATGTGGTGGTTGTATTCTGTTACATGAAGTCATTATGAGTTGGAAATGGACTGTACAGCATACAACAACAATATGGCGCCTTACATACTATTGGTTACTCAATTACATTAACAGTGATGACATGTAGTCTTTTACTCACATCAATGTTTTTTCTTTTTGACAGATGGCCAGAATAATGGAGATATGAAGTCAATATGGAATGTCACACAGGTATGGATATGTCAGAAAGCCAGATTGTATCTTTTAAAGAAAAGTATTTAAATATATTTAAATCATACCAGAGCCACTGCAAAAATATAAATAATTCTGTTAATATCTAATATATTTGTTTGGACTTTAACAAATGTATTATGGTAATCTTAGGGTTAGAAAGGAGTCCTGGTGTGATGCTGTGGGTTAATGCACTAGACTGCAAAGTTGGCTTGAACCACAAGTTCGTCGGTTCAAGCTCATGAGCTGCTCCTTGGAAACCCTATACAGGGTTGCTATGGGTCGGAACCGACTCAATGGCACTTAACAACAATGACAGCAAGGATTAGAAAAATCCCCAAGTATTTAATTGTACTTGTTATGTGCCATGGATTCGGTTCCGACTCATTGAGACCCTGTACAGGCTATC